GTTAAGGTTATCAGAACTAACAAAAAACAGAGAACATGCAGCTAGAAAATAGTTGCGTCGGTTAGAATTATCAGGATAAGTTTGTTTCAAAGACGTATAAATTTCATGAATTATTTTCAAATCAATAGGAGTTACTCTGCTTTTTTGCAATTTCATTATTTATTTTTTCCAACACCTCTCCAACCTGCTGAATTTCAAGCCAGTGGAAATAAAAGTGACCTTGCAAATACCATTTAGTCTCATTAAGATAACGGTGGTAAATAATTAAATATACCACCGGAAGTTTTTTGTATTTTGATAGCTTGTTGAAATATAGACGGATTTTTCTCTCCAAGTCTTTATCAACCCTTTTTGAGGTAAAATCAAACGAATAGTCGAATACGTTTTCATAATCAGCAAGATTCAAATCGCTCACAGTACCATACTTTTGTTTTGTAGAAATGCACCAAGAGATTTGTTGAAGCTCACTCAAATAAAATTGTTCTTTGAAAATCAACTCGTATTCTTTCTTTGAAATTTCCTTTGCCCTTTCGAGGAAGACGACGTAGCGTTCATTACTAAATTTGAAAAATGAGTTTTTTTCTGCGGTTGAAAACACTCTTAATTGTAAATGTTCATTATCAATATCTTCAGTACACCAAGTTCCCTCTAATTTCATTTTTCTTATTTCAAAATTTGACAAATTTATCATTTGGTATATTTTGCCCAGAAACGGCCGCCGCCTTTTGAGAGTAATTTCAATTTACTGCCTTTTCACCATAAAATTTAGGTCAAGTTAAGGAATTAGTTTACTGCTGCCAACAGTTAAGCTACGCTGCCAAAATGGCCGGCGCATTTTTATTATATACCATAAAAGGCAATTCCCCGTTCACTAACAAATTTCAACTAGCTCGAAAGTTCATTTGCCCGAAACAAATATAACAATTAATATGATTCATATAATTAACTAGGACCAATAATTAGGACCCCAAAATTTGGAATTAGAAAGATTTTTGTATCGTGTCCCTTGTTGTTAAGCTAAACTTAGCAAGATCCTAAGTAGGGGGTCTTCTGCTTTTTGGGTGGAAAATTTCTTTCGTTTACAAAATCCTAGGATAGGGGTCCTCCAAAAAAATAAGGACCCCTTTCCTAGGATTTTGCTTTACGTGAGGACCCCCCCCCCCTTAGGAAGGACCCCCCCCCTTAGGATCCGGGACACGATACAATACTACTTAAACCAGTCGAAAAAGCTCAATTAAGAACTTATAAATTGTTTGAGCGCGGTAAACATTTGGCCTAACCCGACAAATTAACAAAATTTACTCAACCAAACCTACCTACCAGACCTAAAAAATAACACGAAAAAATACCATAGAAAATGAAGTTTTTCTCTGCAAAAGATATAATGTCACAACGACCAGAAACATAAAATGCGGTGAAACTCGATGAGATAAAAATACCGTGAAACATTTTTCCTTGTTTCGAACGACCAAGTAATCAGACTATTATAAAACAAAGTGAAGTCAAACCAATACCTTAATCGGAAGAAACAAAAATCAACACAAAAAAAACAAGATGTTGTTGAAGACATCAATTTAACCTGAAAACTTTAAAAAACATATACATACAAAACATGAAAAACTTTTGAACTTGAATACCCCATCAAGTATAAAACAATAAAAATTTATATAAAATCCCTCAAAAACAATTTTATGACCAAAAACACCAAAAATTATCAGAAAATGAGCTCATGTTTTTCGAATTGAAAAGGTGGTAGCAATAAAAAACAAGCATCCGATACAGAAAATCACTCTAAGAAGTTGATTATCACCATACACAAATGTTTTCAATCAAACACCAACGTGTTATACGCAAATGAAACTTGAACAAACGTTTAAAAAGATAGTAACCCAACAAAAAGTTTTAAATTACGGATTTCACAAATGTACACACCACTATGACCAGTTCTGCCATCTAAATGTTCTCAAATGGTCTCAGGCAGATATACAATATTGTTGTTAAAATTATCATTCAAAATAAAGTTAGGTGATAATTAAAGTAGTCACTTCGAAGACAAAACCCTCACAAACAAGGAAACTCTGTGTTTAACCCTGAATCACGCTTTGAATTATCAATTTTTGTTTTGTTATCAAAACGTACTATTGAAAAAACATTGAATACAATCCAACGACTTGAATAAAACTTTGAAACAATTGAAAAAAATAATAATATATAAAAAATAAAAAACAAAAAATAATCATTTTGTAAGGACTTTGATTAGAGGTAGAAAATAGCGCACTCGGTATAAAACTGCCTGAAGAAACAGTAGATTAGCATATGAAGGAATTGCACTGGAATGACAAAAGAGTTTAACCAGGAGAGTTTTGGTATCGAAGTCTTCGTTAGTTATCATTCTGTTTCTTTTCATTCTTCTGCCTGCTTGATCCTCTTGAACGGGGTCACCTACCTGCTCCTGCTTAATCGAATCCGGGCGATGGATTATGAGTTCTATCTTCTTTTTTTTTTGGGGGGGGGGGGGGTGGGGAGAAATAGTTCAGAGTAGGTTGAGTGGCCGAAGACGATTGCTCCCGCGCCTCATCCTCCGCTGTCTTGTCTGAGTGGCAAAGAGGATTGCCAAAAAACTTCGTTGGCTTCTTAATACGAGCTGAGGCCCAAGTTGTTTTTGAATTATCCGGAGCTGGAGTGAGATTCGGAGTGGCCACTGCGGCCTCACCTTTGCCGGACTATTCACTGGGGTGAGCCACAGACGGATATGAGGCAGAAACTTGTTCGCATAAAAAAGAGAGAATTGCAAAAATTAGTTCTCTGACAAAACTAATAAATAAATAATTAGGGACAAAAAATTTTTCCGGATTGTCTTGAGTTAGCCATATTTAAGCCAGTTCATAAAAGTGGAAAGTAGAAACATCCAGACAACTGTAGGCCAACATCTCTTTTACCAGTTTTCAGCAAAGTTTTTGGAAAACTACTCCACGAACGCATTATTGATTTCTTAGAATAACTTCATTTTTTGACCAAAAACCAATTCGGGCTCAGGCCTAAATTGTCAACATTAGATGTTTTGATAAACGCCATGGAAGACACTCAAAATGAGTGCGAAGTGAAACCCAAGGTAACACATGTATCTTTCATAGATATCAAAAAAGGGTTTGATACTGGTTCGCACGATACACTACTAGATAAAGCTGAAAAATGCGGCCTCATTTAGGCATTGTTGAAATCACAACTGACACAAAGATCACAAATAGTCAAATTAGGCTCTAAATTGTCAACATTGAAAACTTTTCACTGTGGAGTTGCTCAGGGTTCAGTACTCGTGCAACTAGTGATCATTTATCAGATAAATGGTTTGCCAACCATTACAAGCTCAGTGAACACCAGTACAATTTTGCTTCACTGCTTTGTCATCAGTAATCACCAATATTCTTATTCGCTGATTATACAGCAGTAAAGCAAGAAGAAAAAGCTTACACGAACACAATGAGGGCTTATCAAAAATAAGGATTCGGTTGAAAATCAGTAAACTATTTCAGTACCTTGACAAAAAATTAGCTTAAATAATAATAGGAAAGTAATCACAATAGAAAAACGCTTCTATACTAAAAATCTGAGCTTTCACATGGACGCAAAATTGGATTTCGAATTTCATATTGACTTTTTCGTCAAAAATGAATAGTTTTTGTGGGTTGCTCTACTGCTTAAGTGACCTACTAACAACAGCACAACTAATTAAAACAAATTCTGCCAATACTGCACCATGGAGTTATAGTGTACGGCACAGTAAAAAAAACACCAAAACATAACTCAAATTTTACCTTACAGTTGAAACTCCTTAGTACTTTTTCGTTGAAATTGTGCTCAATCAAAGGCATCACTTGACTAGGCCTATAGGCCCTTTTGACCTCCTTGCAAATCAAAATTATTTAATGTAAGAAAAATTTATTAAATAATCTCTGATTTGAAAAAAAAAAATTTTTTTTTTGTTATTTTCACTCAATCACTTGTCTATGACTAAGACTATACTAATATTTCATGAACTCTGACAAGGTCAACTGGTGATCACAATCTTGGTAAATAACTTACTGGTACTTTTCTCAAGTCCCAGTTAAACCTTTGCGACCTCAGTGTGTCTAGTCAATTATGTTCACTTTCTCAGCTCTTTGTTCATCAATAACTTTCTCCTCTCTATCCTCAGTGGAAACCTTAGATCGAAATACAGCGTATAACCAACCCTCTTAATCAATAATGCTCTCGATTTTTACCTTACCATAAAGAGAAAGTCCTTTAACTGTTTAGTTTTTGTCACTTTGATCGCACTCTAAAAAAAAACAAGACCATGCGATGTATCAATCATCCTGCAAAAAAATTGTTGAGACGTTTAACTCTTCGAGACGACTGTTCAAAAATCTGGCTTAAAATTAAGTTTGGAATATTGTCTCGTTCGCAAAAAATTTATCTTTTGCGTTTTTAAAAGTGAAATCAAATTTAAAATGAAAACCTGAAATCTCAATTTATTTTTTCTTCAATTCTTGCGTTTCTAAAGATTTGCAGTTTTTTGCACAGCTTTTCGCACAACTCAAAATAGTTTCAAGTCTAGATCGCGGTTTATATTCCGACTGTTTCTATTGAGTTTTGAGATTGTTTTCGAAAATTTGCTTCATTTTTTTTTGTTTTTTTTTGCTGCTTGATTAGTGCGTATCGATTACAAATTTTGATAACAAAACTTATCCGCCTTGGAAAACAAAACACTTTTTTTGATCTGGCTTAAAATTGTAGAGGGAGAAAATAATTCTAATTCAATTTGAGAGGGTTGAGAACATTCAATCGAATATATCAAGTTGGTTTACTGCAAAATGGAATAAAAAGTATTAATTGTTGAAAAGTTAATACATAGAAACAGTCAATGTTTTCTTTTTTTTTTTCATATAAAACAATAATCTGTAACCAGTCGCAGAGTTTTATGTCACTCTTTCTTCTTCTTTTTTATAGATGCAACTTCACTACTCAGCAGTGGCTTCCTCTCCCCCTCTCTCTCCCTCTGGTCCTTTATCATCCAACACTCCTCCTTCCCCTCCAACTTCCACTTCAGCCTTTGCATCTTTACTCTCTTCTTCCTCTTCTGCTGCTGCTGCTGCCACTGCTGCTTCCTCAGGAATATCCGTCTTCTTTTCCCCACACTCTCCACCTTCTCCCTCCCCCACTGCTGGCTCAACTTCCTCCCCTCCCTGTGGTGAGTGGGACTGCTTGTCTATTGAGGCTTCCTTGTCCACTAAATTCTCCGACGGTGTCTGTTTATCTGCTGCCTCCCCTTCTGCGTTCTCTAATGACACTTCACCCCCCTCCCCCTCCCCCTCCACCTCCCCTTCTCCATCCTCCTCCCCCTCTAACTTAATCTGTCCACCAGCCTCCTGTGAATTATCTGTCGTCTGATCCCCCACACTACCGTCCCCTTCCTTCTCTTCTGTCCCTTTCGCCTTCTCCTTATCGTCCCCCTCATTTACTGTCCTGTCCACTTTCGCCTCCGCTACTCCTCCCCCCTTCATGCTACCCTGCACTCCTCCTTTCTTGTCCCGCCCCCCTGTCGTGCTCTTCCCCCCACTACTCTGCCTCTGCTTACTGTCTGATCCCCCCACTGCAGCCCTTGCTGTGGCCCCTCCCCTTGCCGGTGCTACCACTGGTGTCCTACTGCCAGGTGTTGTCTTCTTCGGATTCCCTCCCACGCCACTTCCCGACTGGACAGGACGCCCATCTAAAACAACACTCATTAAGGCACACCAGAGACTTTTAAATTGTACAGAGAATCTGCTAGTCAAAGAATATAACACAATTTTGAAAATTTGAGTTAACTGAGTCTGAGGGCGGATCTAGGACTTTCTCGATGGGGGGGGGGGGGATTTTCAAAAAAGTTTTCGAAATTTATGACGGCTTTTTTTTAGGTCGAGCAAATAGATTTTTCGAGCTCTCCCAAAGCACTAAAAAGTCCCTGTTTTGGCCAAATTTTCTGCATTGCAGGCAAAATTTTGATACAAGCAGGCCAGAAAAAACGTTTTTAGGCACTTTTTAAATTAATATAAATTGGCACCAAAGGAGCTTTGAGAAAATTTTTAGGGTGCGTCACCAAAAATGGAAATTTCAAAATAGTACAAAGGGGGACCCTTTGGGTCGGCAGGGGGTCGAATCCATGAGGAAGAAGACGTCCGTCCCCGCTCCCTCCCCCCCCCCCCCCAATATCCGCCCTGCTTACAATTCCGTACACCAAAATTGCTTATCATACATCAAATGTATGAAAAAATGCTAATCATACAATTTTCATACAATTTCACAAAATCAATGAAAAAGGATTTGAACTAGTTTGCGGCTATTTGAACCAAACAAAACAGTCTAGTGATGGAAAAAACTAAACTTTTTTTTGGAAAAAATAGTTATCATACAATTTCCGTATATGAAAATTGTATGACTAGCATTTTTTGATGGCGACAACAAAAAATTTTCCATGTAATATTGAATGTGCCCCAAAATTTTTTTTTGTTTTTTTTCAACAGCAAATCGAATTTTGTACGCAAGCAAACATTTTCCAATAACGTAGTCCTGGATACACGAAAATTGGATTTTTTCAGTTTCTCTGGATAATTTTTTTCAAGTAGGTTAAAAACTCCTATATGTTTTGTATGGCATGCTTATCTATGCCTTGATCAATGTCTGATAGTTTGAAAATTCCTATTTGAAAAAAAATCATTTTTGAAAATTTTTGCTAAAATTTAAAAGTTTGATGCTTTCAGTACATGATTTGTGAAGAGATTTCTTATTCCCTTCAGGTCGTTTCCAATGCATTGTAAATGCCAGACGATTAACTCTTTAGTGACACTAGTTTTGAGTAAACCTTGGTTTTAGTCACTTGTGTTCGGTCACAAACACATCCCAAAAGTTTTGAGAAAACGTTCTTTAAATCAAGTTTTTTTCAATAAACCTTATAAATTCGAATTGATTTGAAACTTTAAAAACATTTTTGTCAATTTTCGCAGTAACCAATATCTACAAAAAGCACAAAATTTAAGCTTTTTAGAGGCAACTTCGAAGACAAAATGGACAAACTAAATGGATTATAATCAATTACAATCGATTATAATACATTTTTGTGCAAAACTCATGAGTTAGAAATTGGAATAAAAATCATGAATTATAATCAATTATAACTTATTATAAAGGTATCAGAAAACGAACAACTAAATAATCGATTATAATCGATTAAAATGGATTATTATTAATTATAATTTGTTTTAAAAAGAGAGATTATAATCGATTATTAATCAATTAAAATCAATTGATTCTCTATTTTAGTAAGGTTGAGACTAAAACTGTAATATACTAGATTATTAACGCTTGAAACTGGATGCGGGTATGAAAAAATGCTTGTCCTACAATTTCCATAAATGAAAAAATGCTTATATTAGAATTTTCCTAAAATTTTCTGTATTAATGGAATTGCTCGAAATTATATTATATGATATAATCATATTATATTATAATCATATATGAAAATTTTATGATAAGTATTTTTGGTCATCCGGAGAATCATGTCTTAAATTCTCTGTTTTTCAGATACAGACTTCAAGGTCAGGCATACCTAACAAAAGAATCACAGCGTAGCAAAATAGCTTTCAAAAGTTGAGTTTAAAAAGTTTTTCGAAGATGTGGGAGAAGAGGGAAGTAAAGCTAGAATTAGAGGTAACGGCTATTATGAGAAAGTTTCAAATACAACCAACTTCTTAATCGAAGACGTAGAAACCACAGAGCATGACGAGTGAACTTAATGCAATAAAAACATCGTGCCACAACGTACGAGTTAGAGCTTTAAATGACAAAATAAGATTTGATTTTTGGCGATGTGGAACCTGATCTAAACTATATTTTATGATTGGATAAATTAAATGTTTTACCAATGTAAAGTATTTAATATTAACCAATCATGATCCATCTAACTAACAACCCACTTATTTGTAAGTGCTGAAGTTACTTGTAATTTCAGCACCAGAGAGATTTGAATTTAACTTAGAAATTAGTTGGACTCTCCCGAGCACTTCAGCAGCCGCAATAAACCAGTATACCCTAGATCTATTGAGCCTAGCAGAGACTAGTTAAACAACCTGAGACTAGATAGTATAAGAGTAAGATTAGGATCGGTATTAGACTAAGAAGTTGCACGAATCTATCCGGCCGAAAATAAGATAGCGTGACGAGCAGACGGTGTACCCTATCCGAAATTACTCTATGAGTTATACACTCCAGTCCTAACTCATCTGGTGCGACCATAAGTCTCGAACAAGACCTTACTAGATTAGAATTAACCAAAATTAGATTAGAAATTAGACAAAAACATTTACAAAATGTTATACGACAATAATTTAATTGAAATGTCTCTCCGACTCAATAGATCCGAGCCAATATTCCGAACCATAATAGAACTACCCGGAATTGGAAGAAGACATCGAACCAAAGACGACATACGACAAAGTAGAAACTTGCCGTATAGTTATATGATAGTTCGGCAAAAGCCAGAACAAACTTTTATATTTCGAATACTACTTGCAATGAATTTAGATTTCCATTTGCAAACATAAAACCTTGAAGTAAATCTTCAAAATCATTTCAGGCGCTAAACAAATTAATATTATACAATAACGATTGATAAAAAGATCTAAGATCGTTTTCCTAAAATTCTGCAGTATTATACAAAACATGTTTGAAAAATATTTATTGGAAAATAAAAATAAAAATTAGTAGCATGACAATAAATGGTTAGTAATCATAAATCATCCTGTTGTTCCAGCTTCATCACCTAAAACATAACAACAATCATAAACTCACTAATATCATCAAAACACTAAATCTTTCCTTTACACAAATTTAAAACTTTATTAAAACTTAAAGTCACTTAATTTAAAATCAGATCATCAAGGCTTATCCTTGGATCTTAAATCATTTTCTACTTAATTAAATTTTAAATTTGATCATCAAGGCTTATCCTTGGATCAAACAGAACAACTTTGTTCTCCCCCACCCACTTAATTAGTGTCTAACGACCTCAAACGTCGATTCACTACCCAACCCTTTCTAAAGACCCAAGACTAATAGAAATTTTTAAACAAAACTAATCATTCAAATTAGGATAAACAGTGAAGAACTTCGGTTATTCATCCTTCACTTGACCCCTCCTCTTACCAGACCCAGGATAAATCTTAGACTTAGTAAGTTTAAAATAGTATCTAACGAACTACTCGCGTTCTAATTATACCTGAACCTTGTGGATCGATTTACTATTCTCCAACCCTTGAACACAATCATTACCCCTAAGTAAGATTAAGTAAGTTAACACCTTAGCTTATACTAGTCACGAGAAAGTAAAAATCATTCTTCGGAATCGATATACTTTTCTCTCCAACCCTGAACAACTAGACCCAGGTTAAGCTAACCAAAAAATCGTAAGAACTAACAGTTTAAGTCAATAGAAATCATTTAACAACCTTTTGCATCCGTCATTCTAAACCTTATGTCATTTAAAAACCTAGGAAATAAACAAACAATCATTTTACACAATTGTGAAATAGATAACAAAAAATACGACCTTGTAATCACACCTCATACACAAACAGTTGGATACATTCGAACAAAACGACAAACACTAAAGAGAAAAATAATAACTAAACAAAGACAAATAACACGAAAAAGATTTTCAAAAAATCGAAACGCATTTTCAGAATCAGAAACCAACAGTTTAGACGAACTTTACAAACTAAAAGAATCAATAGATAAAAATTACCCACAACACGATCAATTATATTTTTCTGACTCAGAAACAACTTCAAATTCATCACAAAGAGGAAAAAGAAGAATAAAAAAACAGTACAAACAAAAACCAGTACATCTATACAATTGGAATCAACCAATTCGACACATTAATAATTATATATTAACAGTCATCAAACGAAAAAATGAGCTCAACACACACGCCAGGTGAAGAAACTCCAGATGATGATGAAATCTTTCCCTTTATAGTAGATGCAGATACTGATAGAGGACAACACATATTTTGTCAAAATTTACTCGTAAATTTATTTGAACCCGGAATCAGTCCATGTAAAACAGAGTTCCCCGATGTAAAAATCAAAAGACAAATCATAGATCACTATCTAAAAGATATATGCAACATAACACAACAGTATGGAATATACTCTATAGAATTCACTTCCCCAAACCATAATAATACAACATATACTATTCAAACAGACGACCTTGATTTAGAATTTTCAAAAGTTTTTTTAGAATATATAAAAAGCATCCAATACCATAACTCACAAAGAGCAAACTCCATTTTCACCAATGAAGTTTTCGCACTAATATATAGTTATATTTCGATATTAGAAAATGAACTCCCATTAACAAATGTCTCACCGACAGAAACATCTAAACATTTAAGAGTACGACATGAAATCACACTACTCTCTAGTTATTTAAACATCATTAAAGAAAATTTCACGAAAGACGACGTTTCACAACATACCAAACACGATTTACAAAAAATTTTAGCATGGTTCATAATAGATTATTTTACACACAATATTGATTTAATTGCACAAGCAAGAAAAAATTTTAGACCCCAAAATTCGAACGATGATACCGCTATCACAGAACAATCAGATTATGTTTGGGACCCCGAATGGTCTCACCCCGCATTTATAAGCTTTCCACAAT